AGCAGGGAGCCCGATGCGGGGCTCGATCCCAGGACCCTGGGATCATGACCTGAGCCGAAGGCAGACGCTTAACGACTGAGTCACCCAGGCGCCCCACTTCACCGTCTTTAATAGATGCCATAAGTAAGCTTCTCTTTAACAATCCGGGCCCGCGGCACACGGCAGGGTCCTCACTTTGTCCCGGACATTGACTGTCAGCTGGCTTCTCCCAGGGGCTCTTGATCTCTGCCTCTGTCTCTCCCTGGCTTTGTCTCTCCATTTTGTTGTCCCTCACTGTCTCTGTGTCTCTGTGCCTCCCTTACGATGTCTCTCTGCTCTCTGCCCCACCTTGCCTGTCTCTGCCTCTGTCTCTGTCTTTCCATATCCCTTTCTGTCTCTATTTCTCTGCCCCTGCCTTTGACTGTCTCTATCTCTCCGTCTCAGATTTAATCTGAGTCTCTGTCTCTGTTGTCGCTCTCAGTCTCTGCTTTCTATCTCTGTCTCTCCCTCTGTTCGTCTCTGTCCCTGTCTCTCTCTACTCCCTTGTCTCACTCTTTGGATTTATCTGTCTCTCTGCTTGTTTCTCTTTTATTGTCTCTCAATTTCTGTCCTTCAATCTCTGGTCCTTTGCAATTCCATTCGTTCCCATACACACACCTGTTCTCTCTCCCCACCCCCACCTGCGCCCCATCTCTTGCCCCTGCGAACCCCTCACTCACCAGCTCCTCCCAGATCCACAGCAGACTCTCCCTGGCACCTGCAGCGTCTGCCCCTGGGGACAGGAGGGTCTGGTCAGCTCTCCCCACTGGGGGGACCTCCCTCAGGGCCCGGGGAGGGGGGCCCAGCCCCGGAGGCACCAGTCCCGCCTGCCTCAGTTGTCTCCAAAGCTCCATAGTCCCTGAGCAGTGGCAGCCAGGAGCAGAAAGTGACAAGGTCCAGAATGACCCAGTCCTCTGAGGAGCCGGCGAGGCAAGGGGGGAGCAAAGGGTGTGAGGGGGTGCCTCGGTCAGCATTCCAAAGTCCGCTCTCCGGTGAGAACTGACGGCCTCGCGAGGATTTTCTTCCTTCTAAAGTCTAACTTCAACTCTGCTCACAAGGGTCCAGCCACGGCCTCTCTGGCAGAGACAAAACCCCCACCCCTCTTGACCCCTTCTCAGGCCGAACCCCTCGTGGGGGCTGGGTGTCTGGGGATGGCTGGCCTCACCTGTCCCGCCCTGGGTCTCTCCTGGGCCCCTCCCCACCCCCTCCTCCTCAGCTTCCATCCTTCCTTCCTCTCTACTCTCTGGCTTGCTCCAGCTTGGACCTTGTCTTCTGCACTTGGGCCACCCCAGGGCTTCCCAATTAGTGTGTCTGAGGAGCCCCGATCCCTCAGCTGTGGTACCTCAGTGTCCAGGCTACTGGCTAACTGAGCAGCCAGCTCTGCTGACCCCTGACCTGCCCATGGATACCATCACTGTCAGTGAGGGCCCTGCCACGGCGAAGACTGGGACGCGGGCCTCCCTCCGCTTCCAGAAGCCGCCACCACCACAGTCCTTGGCTCGTTGCCCCTTCCCTGTATCACTCTTGCACCTACCACCACATCTCCTACTGACTGACCCCCTGCCTCGGTCTAACGGGACCGTTGTCATCGAATTTGGCCCATCCTGATCGCCCAGGATAATCTCCCCACCTCCAGATTTTTTTTTAATGTTTTTTTTTTTTTTAGATTTTATTTTTATTTTTCGACAGAGAGAGAGAGAGAATGCAAGCAGGGGGAGTGGGAGAGAGAGAAGCAGGCTTCCCGCTAAGCAGGGAGCCCAATGTGGGACTCGATCCCAGGACCCTGGGATCATGACCTGAGCCGGAGGCAGACGCTTAACGACGGAGCCACCCAGGCGCCCCCCATCTCCAGATTCTTAACTTGATCACATCTTCCATTTACCATATGAAGTAACAGATTCACAAGGTCCAAGGATCAGGGCATGAGTTTTTTTTTGGGGGGGGGGGTCCATTATTCAGCCCACTACACCTGCCTTTCAAACCTGTCACTTTCCCGGTCTCCCCGTCTCCCTAAGTGGCATCCCTATCCCTTTAGTTTCTGGAGCTATTGGCTCAACCTTCAAAATAAACTCATAATCTGAGCACTTCTCACCAGTTCCTATTGCCCCACCCCTGCTCCTGTCTCCATTCCTCTCTTGCCTGGACTCCTGCAGTAGCCTCTTTGCTGGCTCCCACTTCCACCCTTGCTGCCTAAAGTCTGTTCTCCACCTGGCACAAATGATATTTTTTTAAAAGACTTTATTTATTTGAGAGAGAGAGAACAAACACAAGCAGGGGGAGGGGCAGAGGAAGAGGGAGAAACAGGCTCCCAACCGAGCAGAGAGCCTGACACTGGGCTCGATCCCAGCACACTGGGATCATAACCTGAGCCGAAGGCAGACACTTTACTGACTGAGCCACCCAGGCGCCCCGAAATGATCTTTGAAAAACATAAATCGGGGCACCTGGGTGGCTCAGTCGGTTAATCGTCTGACTTTTGATTTCAGCTCAGGTAATGGTCTCCCAGTCATGGGATCGAGCCCCGAGTAGTCGGGCTCTGTACTCAGCACAATCTGCTTGTCCCTCTCCCTTTGCTCCTCCCCCCACTTGCTCTCTCTATATCTCTAAAATAAATAAATAAAATCAAAAAAATAAATAAATAAAAGGCATAAATCAGATCATGATATGCCCCTGAGAATGGAATTCGGCACAGTCAGCTTCCTGCCCACCTCTCTGACCTCATCTCCTACTTCTCTGTGCCAGCTGGTTCCCACCCCTGGGCCTTTGCACTCGCTGTTAGTCTGCCTGGAATACCTTTCTCCCAGATCTTTGAACGACTGTTTCCTTCTCATCCTTCACCTCCGCTTAAATATCATCTCTTCAGAAAGGCCTTTGCCGATTCCCTTACCCTCTAGTCACTGCCAATTATACTGCCTGTCCTTACGTGCCTCTTATCAAACATTATCTGAAATTATCTTGCTTATTCATTTGTTTCTTGTCCATCCTCTCCCCACCTGGAATGCTGACTCCCTGAAATAAGGTCTGTCTTGTTCACCATGGTAACCTGAGCACCCAAAACAGTGTAGGCCACGTGGCAGGTGTTCAGTAAACCTCTGCGAATAAATGAATGATTCTACCCACAAGACTTCACATTAAATCTTCACACTGAGAGAGAGCGCTGGACTCCAAACTAAAGTCGCGATCACAGTACTTTGAGATCTCACCTCTCTTACCCTAAAGTCTAACCTCACCACCCACTAGACCTTTTCCTTTCCTGACCCAGGCGTAAAGAATGACTGGGTCAGTTGCCTAGTCATTAAGGAGGTAGCGAATGAAAGCTGGGGAAGAGGCAAGCTCAGGGGGACTGTGAGTACAGTCGGAGGGAGGGTACTCTAACAGGAAGGACTGAACGCTCTCCCAGGGAAAGGCTGCAGAGACTCACTGTTAAAGACCATGGAAATGGCTTTCGAAGCAATCGCTCAACTAGAGTAAAAAGTGCGGTGCCTTTAAAAGGAGAGCTGGAGCATGAAGGGGGCGTGGCCACAGGAAAAGACGTCTCGGTCTGAACCTCGAGGGTGGACAGAGAAAAACCGGCCCCTTCCGTTTACGTAATCCTAGCAAGATGGCGGCGCCCAGGGCGGTAAGTGACCGGAGCTCCTAGAGCCCCAAAATTGAAGTCCGCTCTGCTGCCCCCGCCTTCAGGGTTTCTGTCAACACCCAGGCAGCAAGGGGCAAGAGAGAGCAGGAGGCCTCTCCCGCTAAGGCTTATGCTGGGAGCGCTGACATGCGACCTTCGAGAGCCGAGAAGGATCGGTGCGAGTCGCAGACAGCCGGGGCGCTTTAGAGAGGAAGCGGGGCGGGGACTTGGTGGAGAGAAACCAATGGGGAAGCAGGGAGCTTGTTCCGAAGATGGCGCACCCAGCCAATCAGAGGAAGGGACCCGATTGTGGGCGCTGGGAGTCGGGCGGGCGCGAGTGGGACCTTCCAGGGAAGAGGGTTTGGGTGAGTTCGGTGGAGAAGCTGGGGTTTGAGATCCAAGGGTAGGAGATCAAAGGGTACAGGTGAGGGAAGCTCATGGGAGAGTTATGCATTTTTATGGAAAGCCAAAGGGACGATGGAGGTCGGGGACAGGAACCAAAACGTGAATATGGAAGTTCCAAGGGAAAGACCTAAGGGAAATTTTTTTTTTTAAAGATTTATTTATTTGAGAGAGCGAGAATGAGAGAGAGAGAGAGTACATGAGAGGGGGGAGGGTCAGAGGGAGAAGCAGGCTCCTCGCTGAGCAGGGAGCCTGATGCGGGACTCGATCCCAGGACTCCGGGATCATGACCTGAGCCGAAGGCAGTCGCTTAACCAACTGAGCCACCCAGGCGCCCGACCTAAGGGAAATTAAGGGGAGAATTTGCGATATTCGAGGAGAGAATTTAGGAAGAAAGACCTAAAGCCAAGGAATGGGTCTAGGGAAGACTAAGGTGAGTGGTTGGGGACCTAGGAATTTTTGAGGGAAAATAAGGATTTGGGCAAATTACCAAGAAAATTTGGTTGAAGCAGAAAAAGAAATTGGAGCAGGCCAAGAGAACACTGAAGGGAAATTGAAGGAAGAGTTTGGGGGCTTTAACAGGTAAATTAAGGGTGGTTTGGAGTGAAATTAAGATATTTTGGGGTTAAGAAATGGGTTATTCAGGAAGACTCCAGGGAAAATTGGATAAAATTAAGGGGGTATTTTTGTGGGAAATTGAGAGGTCAGATAATAGAGGTCTTCAAAGAAAAATAAGGGTTTAGGAAAAGATCGGGGGGGAAATGGTAAGACCAAGAATGTTTGGCCAAATCAGAGAGAATTTAAGTTGATTAAGGGGAAGAACTTGGGAGAAACATGAGGAAATTTGGGGGATGTCAAAAGCAGAATTTGGAAGTTCTGAAAGGAGAATTTTGTGAACCAGGAAGAAGCAGGGGTGGGGTGTGCAGCAGGAGGAGGACCAAGAACAGGGGGATCCAACTCTGACTCTCACAGGAGGCTCCAGGCTCAGCCTCTCCTTTCCTGTCCTCCCCAGCCCCTGCACCTGGTGATGCCAGTATGGAACCGGGGTACCAGGGGCATCCGTGGCCTGAGCAGGGCAGTGGCCCTGGAGGGCAGTCAGAAGAAGGGGAGGTCCCTGCTCCAGTTCCTGGCTGACCGCTTCTATGACGTGCAGGCTCTCAGGGAGTACCTGCTCCAAAAGCAGGTGTTGAAGGTGCACCAGAAAAATCGGTGAGCACTCTTGGCGGGCATGACCCTGCTGCGGGGGCCTTACCAGGCAGAACTCAGATCCTGCCCCTGCAGCTGCTATACCAGGCCTGCCGAATTGCATCCTCTCTGGCCACACCCTTCCCAAGGGCTCCAGCTCATATAGGTGACCCGCTGCCCACCATCTCTTGGAGGTCACGCCGGCACCTCAAACCTAACATGGCCCACTGCAAACCCTTGACTTTCCCCTAAGAAAGTCTGCTCACCCCCAAGCCTTCCCATCCCAGGAAACAGCAGCACTGTCCCCAGTTACTCAGGCCAAATTCTAAGGAGTCTTCCTGATTCTTCTTGCTTCTCTGTCTTCCACATCCAGTCCACCAATAAAATACCAGACCATCCCAGATGTGCCCAGTTGTTAAGCTCCTCACTATTCGTAGCCTGGTCTGAGCCCCTTCATTTTATGGTTGGTTGAGCGCAGTAATCTGAACTGGTCATCTTTTGCCCCCCTCCAGTCTGTTATGGTCTATAAGTCATCCAAAGGACTCAAACTATAAAATAGAGGGGCGCCTGGGTGGCTCAGTCTGTTAAGCATCTGCCTTCGGCTCAGGTTCGAGGCTCCTGTCGGGCTCCTTGCTCAGTGGGGAGCCTGCTTCTCTCTCTCCCTCTGCTGCTCCCCTTGCTTGTGCTTGCTCGCTCTCTCCGTCAAATGAATAAATAAAATCTTAAAAAAAAAAACTAAAATAGAAAACCACCACCTTGCTTAAAGCCCTCAAATGGTTTCCCATTGCAACTACAATAAAAGCCGGACCCCCAAGGCCTAACATCTGAGCTTTGAGACCCCTACCAGGGACTCCCCTTACCCCCACCAGCACGGTGTCCTTATTGCTGTTTGTTCTGCCTTCCTAAGTTGAGCCTCTGAGCATTTGCACCAGCTGTTCCCTTGGCCTGGCAGGCTCTTGCCTTGACCTTTGAATTTCTTCCCACCACTCAAATCTCTGCTCAAGCATCACCTCCTGACACCCAAACTGAAGTAGCCTTCTCCCTCCCCAGCCCTGGCCCAAGCCACTCCTGAGTCAGTCCCTCTGTGTTACTTCCATCATGGATCTGCAATTTGCTCTTAACTTCCAGGTTTCTTACCTGTTTCCTTCTGTAAATGAGCCTCACAGAGCAGGGACCGCTATCTGCCTTGGTGCCCAGTGCTTAATGGACACTCAGTAAATATTTGCAGCCTAGCTCAGTCCTGGTGCTGTGGACTCTGACCCTCGCAGCGGCAGGGGGGTGTGACGCCGGGGTGCAGTGCTCAGCCTCGGCCACTGTTCTCTCCACAGGCCCTTCACCTACATCAAGGAGCGCTTCGGTCCCCACGCCGCGGGCGCCTATTTCATCCTGAAGCAGGGAGGCGCGGTCAAGTATGAGGGCAAAAGTGTCAGCAGGGGGTGGGGGGGAGGCCGTGGAGCGCTGAGCCCGAGGCTCTTGGGACTTCTTGTTCCTGAGCTTCTGCTCCGTCACCTGTAAAGTGGGGCGGTGGTCGTATGGAACCTACAAGGTTTGCTGGAAAGATTCAAAGACATTTTGCAGTGGAAGCGCTTGGAACAGACCTGGCACAGCACAGGAGCTCAGTAAATGTCGCTGTTCCTTTTCCTTCCTTCTCCCCTTCCTTTCTCCTTCTTCCCTTCCTCCTCTTTTTTCTCCCCTTTTTCCTCTTTTTTGAAAAACGTAGCTCATGCACCTACCCCTCACGTGGCTCCAACTAAAATGTTCCCTTGGTTTGAGCACCTTCCTCCAGCACTTTCCTCAGAAACAGCACAGATGTCTGAGTATGTTGGGTTTTTTTTTTTTTTTTTTGCCAGCCTATGAAGACTCTTGTAATTCTTGCCCTTTTCTCTGATGCTATGGGAGTTTTTCAAATAGGGGCGCCCGGGTGGCTCAGTCCGTTGAGCGACTCTTGATCTCAGCTCAGGTCTCTATCTCAGGGTCGTGAGTTCAGGCCCCATGTTGGGCTTCACGCTCGGCATGGAGCCTACTTTAAAAAAAAAAAAAAAAAAAGGCCAAACATCGCATCTTTCATGGGAATGTCGGGGACCCAGGGAGACCCCACACTAAGGGCTTTGTGCAGGGCCTGATGGGTAGCGAGTGCACCAGACGCGGGGCGACCACGTCATCATGCGGGGCCAGGGAGGGGAGGTGCCCTGCTCACACCTGCCGTCCCCTTCCAGGTTTCAGGGCAAGGAGTGGATCCGGTCAGATGCGCATGGCCACTTCTCTCTTGACTTCTTGAAGTTCCAGGCGGTGCCCGTAGAGGCCGTCAATGCCAGTGGCTGTGCCATCAACTACCAGGGCCTGGACAGCCTCTGTGAGTGGGCGGAGGCGGGTGGGGCCGTGCACTTGCCCTTCTGTGGGGGGCTCCAGAAAGGACCACAGTGGCCTCCCCCCCGCAGTGGCCCTGAAGGAGCTCCGGTCCCTGTGGCTGCAGCGCTGTCCCCACGTGGATGACTGGTGTCTCGGCCGCCTCCACCCGCTAGCCAACTCGTTGCAGGAGCTCTCGCTGGCCGGTTGTCCCCGAATCTCCGAACGGGGCCTCGCCAGCCTCCACCACCTGCAGTGAGACCGCAGCTCAGGCTGGGCCCCAAGCTTGGCGGGGGGCGCCCAACACAGAGTTGGGGAGGCGGGGAGCGGGCAGTCGGGCAGTCCCCATAGCCCTGCCTCCATGACCAACCTGGAGCGCATGTGGGGTCTGCCCAGGTGAGCATTCGCAGTGAATCTGTCCCGGGGGGGGGGGGGGACACGGACGGACACATGACCACTCCTGGTTTTTCTTCCTTTTTGTTTTAATGACAACTCGATGACGTTTACACCGTCACAAACAGGAGGAGCCGGAGTGTGCTTCTGGGGTCCCCACGGTGGATGTCTGTACTTGGCCAGCTCTAACATTCTCTGGGCAGCTACAGAGCTCGGGGCTGAAGCCGGGGCTGGCGCGCCCCCTCCACACCCCCGCACAGAGGCCCTCCTTACGCGGGCCTCCCCCTTGCTGCCTCCCCTCAGGAACCTCCGCAGGCTGGACATCTCGGACCTCCACGCCGTGTCCAACCCGGGCCTCACGCGCATCCTGGTGGAGGAGATGCTACCCAGCTGCCAGGTTCTGGGGGCTGACTGGGCCCAGGGCCTCCCATCGGGGCCGGACGAGCAGTCCCAGGACAAGGCCAGCCCCATCCCTGCCTAGGCCTCGGCCCCCCGCCCCATCAAGCTGGGCAGCATTGGGGCTTCCGTCTGGGTTCACTCCACATGGGGGGTGGGGGGGGCACCGCCAGCAGGTCTGAGGGGAGAGCGGGAGGCTGGCGTACCTGTTCCTCACCTCGGGGGCTCGGGCTGGCTGCACCCTGGGCTGCAAGGTCACAGCTCGTGTGTCACCGGTTAGGCCGCTCTTTCCACAGGCTTCTCTCCTGGGTTCCAACAGCCTCCCAGGCCCGGGGGAGGTAAGCCGCCCTGGGGAGCCGCACTCCCCCAACCCCGTGACTTCCCCAGACATGGCCACTACCACGTCGAGAAACCCTGCTCTTGACTTGTCCCGAGACTCAAAGTATCCTTACTCGAACGTGCTGCTGGCCCGGTTCCCTGTGGGGCACCCCTCAGCTCACGGCCCGCTGCGGCATCCCTGGCCTCCACTCGCCAAACGCCCGGAACCCCCCTGGCCCCCCCGCGTTCCCGCTAATCCGTCCGCCACAAACGCAGCTCTTGTGAAAACAGGCCTGGGCCTTTGCAGTAGTTTTCCTCGCTAAGTGGCGTGGTAAGGCTTGTCGGTAGAGGGCGCCCGAGAGACCCCAGGAGAAGAGCCTCGGCTTCCGTGGGTGAGCTCTGCGCGCTCCCGGGCTCCTGCCGGGCGCGCGGCCTCCCCAGCAGGTGGATCCTGAAGTGCCGGGCGGCCCGCAGCTTCCCCGGCCCCGCCAGCAGTCTGAGAGCAGTGCCCCCCACTGAGGCACCCGCCTGCGGCGGGCTCTCCAGCTGCGTCCCGGAAGGGGGATTTCAGCAGATGCCAAGGCTCCTTCTCCGTGAATCCCTTATTTCAATTCGCTGTTCAAAGTCAACAATTCCTGTTAAACTTCACCTGTTCGAATTACTGTGTGGTTTTTCTCTCCTGACTGGATCCACACTGATCCGGCACTGGCATCTGGAGTGTTCCAGGAGACGGACGCACCAAGAGGGGATTTGGGGTCGGTTCCGCAGCGGCGGGAAGCGGGCTGGGGAAACCCGCGGGGGCGCGCGGCCCAGCTCTGGCCCACCTCCGGCCGGGGGGGTTGGGACGGGGTGCCGGCTGAGGAGCCCGGGGAGCCCCGGAAGCCCTGCGGCCGCTGCACCTGACCGCCATGGCGGTGATGACAACTCCAAAGATAGGTGCTGGGCAGACTGCGGAGTGCCCTTGAGCGCTCACAGACAAGGGCAGGCTCGGGTCTGTTGGCTCAGCTCAGGCGGCCTTCTGAGAAGGGGACGGCGAGCTTCCGTGCTGCCCCCGAGGTCCTCGGGGACCCTGAAATCTGGAATGGGGTGGTCGATCTTGAACCCCCTAGTCACTCGAGCGTCCGTGCCCAGTGTGTGAGGGAACCAGCGGCCTGCCTGGACTGGAAACGCTGTGCCCCCCCTGCCCGGGGCGGATGCTCTGGCAGCAGGTGTCTGTTCTTCCTCAGACTCCTCACAAGCGCCCCTGCTCTCACCAGGCCCCCCAGGCCCCCAGGCTTACGCCCCAACAGGCTCCAGGGCACAGCCGCCCACGAGGACCCCGAGGGGGCAGCCTCTACACTAGAAGAATGGCAAGACTGGCAAACATACAGTCAGAAACCTGGGGGGCGGGGCGGCTCCAGTCTAAGGGCGTTAGACCAGTGAGGGCCAAGTTCACGGTCCGGGGCACGCACTTGAGGTAACGAGGTAGCTAGCCAGTGCAGCGGGGTGGTTCTAATGGCTTTCTCAGGTCGCTGACTAGAACTCAACTCACGCGCGGCCTCCGGTTACCGAGGCACGGAGCTGAGCCGCCCTGGCATAATCCGGAGGGGGCACCCCCCAGAGCTCAGGCAGGTCGGTGTCGGACCAGGTTGCTCATGTGGGAGCCGCACTTCCACCCCCTACTGTGTTCCACAAGAAGGCACCTCTTGGGTCATTCTCAATGATGGACTGCCCCGTTCCCACTGCTGGGCTGTTTCTCCTGATTGGACTCTGATGCCCAGAGCAACCCAAACCGTACCTTGAGATTTCCAACCACCCTCAGGAGGGGCAGTGTCGGCATCCCTGGGAGAAGTGAGATGAGCTGGGGGGAGCTCTGGGGGCGGGGGCCCTGCCGCCTCTCCCAGGCCCGGGGCGGGAGGCGGAGGCTGGGAGACCCCTCCCTGCCCCGGGGGCCCTGGCTGTCCTTGCCCACTCTGGCTTCTAGGGCCTTAATATCCGACACTTCCTCTGCACGCTTTCCTCCAGCTGCTCCCACGGGCTCCATTACTCGAACTTGGTGGTTGGAAATCAGCTCTGGACAGATAACCAGCAGCTGCTGACAGACAAGGTGCCAAGGATGAGAGGATCCAGACAGTCCTCCCAACCCAGGATGAAGCGAAGGGGGTCAGACCAGGCTCTGTGGGGCCCTTGGTCAGGGATAAGGAGGCCCCGCCTGCCCACCTCCCTAGACGGCTGATGCAGCCCCAACAGCAGGGGCCCCGGAGGGCAGGGACGCAAACACAGGCAGACACCCTCTCCTGTCCCGGGGGGCCGGATGTGAGTGTTCCCGGAGTCACCGTGCAGCTGGGGGCGGGGCTGGGGGCGGGGCTGGGGGGACGGGGTAGGGATGGAACCGCGCCCCCGCAATGCAAACACCCGGCACCAAAGGGGGCGGAGGAGGTGCGGGGCTCAGCTCAGCTCGAGGGCCCCCGGTGCCCCCACCCCACCCTCCACCGGCCTCTAGCTTGGCACCCCCCTCCCCCTCCCCTTCCATCGAGTCCCCTCCTGCTCCTCCCTGGCTCCGGAGGTCCGCAGACGCCCTTCTCAGTCCCACCCCGAGGGTCGCCCACCTGCCTCTAACGTCTCTCTTCCCTCCCGCACGGGGGCCTCGGGCTACCCGGGATCTCTCACTCCCCGTCTCCACATCCCCCCCTCCCTCTTCTCTCCACCTCCCCCTCCGTCCCTCCTCTCCCTTCCCCCGCCTGCCCCAGAGGTCTCCCCCACCCCTCCTTCCCCACCCACCCAGTCCGTCTCTCCTCCCCACCAGCCCTTTCCCCACCCCCACCCTGACTCCGGCGGCCACAACACACCCCATCCCGGGCACGGCCGACCCATCCCCTCAGCACAGTCGCTGCCGCCGCCGACTCCAAGACCAGGCGCCAGCGCCCCCCCCTCCCCGCCCAGCTCTACCACTTTGGGACTCTGCCTGTCCCTGGGCCATCTCGCCATTGCCCAGCCCGAGCTCGGCCCTGGCCCCTCAGCGCACACCCCCACCCCCAGACTCTCCCAGGCCCCTGGCTCTCCCCGCCGGCCCTCGCCGGGTCCCCCGTCTGTGTCTTTGGCCACCCTGCACCTTTCCGCTGTCTCACCAGAAAACCAGCCCCAACACGCCAGAGCCCCATCCCTCAGGTCGGCCTCCTGCCCTCCCCTCCCCTCCCGTCCCCTCCTCCCTCAGCCCCGCCCCAGCCCCTCCCGGCCCCTGGGGCCCTGGCGGCCTCCCTCCCCGCCCCTCCCCGCCCCTCCCCGCCCCTCCGGACTGGCTGGGCAGGGCTCCGACTACAGCTCCGCCGCTCGGCAGGGGCAGAAGGGAGGGAGCGGGAGCGGGGGCCTGACCAGAGGCCCCGGACGCGGCGCAGGCGGGAGCTGGACCCAGAGGTAAAGAGGAGCGAGCAGGTCCCTGGCCCCCCTTCCCTGGGGTGGGGACTGTTGGGACGAGGGAGGCTGGGTTTCTAGAAGGTGAAAGGGCTGACCCTGTGATTCTGACTCCTGGTGAGGGAATGAAGGGGGGCTGGAATGGCCAAGTCCCCAGTCCCTGGGGTGGGGCTGCGGAATACGTCGGTGGAATGGGCCGGGCTGGGCTGGGGTGGGCTGGGGAGGGTGTCGAAAGAATTCGAACAGGGTTTCGGGCTCCAGGAATAGGGAAGAGCTGGGTCCTTGGCGGGGCGTGGGGGGGGGGGTTGGATTAGGGGCTGGGGCCGAGAGAAGGGGTTACAGGGGCCGGTGGGGACTGCTGGCGCCCATCCCTGCACCCCAGAGGCCTCTGTGGCTCCTTTGCAGCTCCCGCGGCCACCCCTTCCCTGGGCTGGGTCATGCGCTGCCCCAAGTGCCTTCTCTGCCTGTCAGCGCTGCTCACGCTCCTGGGCCTCAAGGTGTACATCGAGTGGACATCCGAGTCTTGGCTAAGCAAAGCCTACCAGGGACCCCGGGACACCCCACCAGGACCCACACCCACCAGCCCCGAGCCCACCCTGCCAGCTAACCTCTCCACCCGTCTGGGCCACACCGGCCCGCTGCCCTCGGCTTACTGGAACCAGCAGCAGTGGCGGCTGGGGTCCCTGCCCAGTGGGGACAGCGCGGAGGCAGGGGGCTGCCGGGCTTGGGGGGCCGCTGCTGCCGCCGAAATCCCGGACTTCAAGTCCTACCCTAAGGGCCTCCGCCGCTTCCTGCTGTCGGCAGCCTGCCGGAGCTTCCCACCATGGCGGCCCGGGAGCGGCGGCGGCCAAGTGGCCAGCTGCTCGGACACCGACGTCCCCTACCTGCTGCTGGCCGTCAAGTCGGAACCGGGGCACTTCGAGGAACGGCAGGCCGTGAGGGAGACGTGGGGCAGTCCAGCTCCCGGAGTCCAGCTGCTCTTCCTGCTGGGGTCGCCCGAGGGTGAGGGGGGGCCCGACCTGAGCTCCCTGGTGGCCTGGGAGAGCCGCCGCTACAGTGACCTGCTGCTCTGGGACTTCCTCGACGTCCCCTTCAATCGGACGCTCAAAGACTTGCTGCTGCTGGCCTGGCTGGGCCGCCACTGCCCGGGCGTGAGCTTCGTCCTGCAAGCTCCGGACGATGCCTTTGTGCGCACGCCTGCCCTTCTGGACCACCTGCGGGGCCTGCCACCCAGCTGGGCCCGAGGCCTCTACCTGGGGGAGGTCTTTACCCAGGCCAAACCCCTCCGGAAGCCCAGAGGACCCTTCTACGTGCCCCTGTCCTTCTTTAAAGGTCACTACCCGGCCTACGCAAGCGGGGGTGGCTATGTCATCGCCGGGCGCCTGGCCCCCTGGCTGCTGCAGGCCGCGGCCCGCGTGGCCCCCTTCCCCTTCGACGATGTCTACATGGGCCTGTGCTTCCGTGCCCTGGGCCTGGCACCCAGGGATCACAAAGGCTTCCGCACAGCCTGGCCGGCAGACCGGACGGCCAACCCCTGCGCGTTCCGGGACCTGCTGCTGGTGCGGCCCCTCAGCCCCCAGAAGAGCATTCGGCTCTGGAAGCAGCTGCAGGACCCCCAGTTCCGGTGCTGAGCCTGGGGGGAGCTGGGGAGAGGAGGGGGAGGGCGGCCCTGGCCTGCACCCGGGTGCCCGTCCCTGGCTCAGCCTCTCCTCCTGGGCCTCAGCATGAGGGAGGAATCCCAGCATCGTGACAGCCTGAGCCCCTCTGGGGCCCTCCCAGGCGAGGGGGCTGGGCAGCAGGAGGCAACAGACTGTTTTTGTCTACTTCTTGTTCTTGAAAAATATGCCCACCCCCACTCTGAGACCTGCGTCGTCTTTGTGCCTGTGGGGCCCCGGAGGGCTGACCCAGTGAGCACAGCTGCACCCTGACCTTCACACTGGATGCCTTCCCCCGCCCCCCCATTACTGGGCAGGACCAGCTCTGGTGGCCTCCTGGTCACTTTGCTGAATGGCAGCATTGTCCCACCTAAGGGAGAACAGGAGACCGTCTGGGGAGGACCCCCCCCCCCCATCCTGTCTGCAGAAACGGACCCTCCAGCTTGCTAAAGTTTCCGGGGGAAGTTACATGTCTCAATGAGCCCGGCCTTCTTTATCTAGAGGGGAGAACCAAGGGGTGGTCCCAAACCAGTCACGCTGGGCTCTCCTCCCACCTCCCAAACGCCAGGAAACAGACCAGCAGCGGGGGGTACAGAGCCAAATAGAGTTTATTGGCCACCTGCTAACCACCTCTCGCTTTGAGGGAGTGGCTTCCACAGGCTGACCCGCCACGCCCACCCCAGAGGGGCTTCTAGTCCTGGAGGCGCCCTGACCCAGCCCCTGGGAGAAGGCACTGTAACAGGCAAGGAGGGGGCCGACTGAGGCCCCCCAGGGTAACAGCCTGGAGGAGTGGGGATGGGGGGGCTAGAGCCCTGGCCCCAGTATTTTGGAGGGAGCTGACTGGGGAAGGAGGGTGGCATCCTGCCGCTCCCTGGGCAACCCCCCCCAGAGTGGGGCTGCCCCTCGGGGTGGTTGAGGTGGGGGTCGGGGGACGAGCAGGCCTCACTTCTCAAAGTGGTCCAGGGGGTAGTGCTCCCCATAGGTCTGAAGGTGCCGGGCCAGGGCCTCCTGCTGCTTGCGGAGCTGGGCGGGCATCTCCTGGTACACGTCTGAGAAGAGCAGGCTGGGGCTGGGCTTTGGCTTCCGCTCCGCCTGCTCAAAGGCCTCCATCACCTGGGGGAGGTGGGACAGTAGACAGGCAACCAGCCCCCCCCCCCGGCCACCTGTGGGACCCCAGCGGGGGGCTCCCATCTGGACAACAGGCGAGAATTGGCAGGGGTGAGAACCACCTTTTCAGCGCCCCCCCACCCAAGCCTGGCCTCTCCTCCCCCACACTGTCCGGTCCGACGCTAAATGCAGAACCGGGCAGCAGGCCCTTTAGAGGTGAGGAAACCGAGGCCCGGAGGGAGGGTGGCCCGTCCCACTGGGCACACCGCCCGGCTCCCGGCCGAGGACAGTGGGACACTCACACTGCACACGAATTAGGTCGCCTACCCCTTGCCCACCTTCTGACGAGGACGCCGTGTCCGTCCTCAGGCAGGAGGGCGTGGAGGGCAGGCGGCGTGCCGAGGACGCAGCTAGGACCCGGCAGAGGCGCCCGCCCAGGCAGCCTGGCACCGAGGACCGCACTTAGAGACCCTGCCGGGCTGTGCCCAGGTCTCCCAGCTCCGTGCCCCCCAACCCTTCCAGGCTTCTCCACCTCATACCGCCCCAGACCATGCCCCCGGGGCACGATTCCCAACAGAGGGAGGCCCCCACCTTCTTGCGGGACTGCTTCCTCCAGGCCTTCTCCTGCTCGTCGTCCCACCAGCCCCGGCTCTGCAGGTAGTGGCGCAGCCGGGAGATGGGGTGGTCCTGCTTGTCCCAGTAATTGACCTCGTCCACCGAGCGGTAGGCTGAGCTGTCATCACTAGTGCTGTGGTGGCCGATCCTGCGGAGGGGGCCAGGGTCAGGAGGGAGGGGGCGGACTAGGGGAGAAGGGGTGGCAATGGGATACAACCCACGAAGGGGATCCAATATGGGGGATGCGGTCCTGCTCCAGGGCCAGTGGCCCGTGCAGGGGAGATGCGGTCAAGGCCGCGGGGGGGAGGATGGGGGAGGCAGGCACCTGTAGGTCATGGCCTCGATGAGGAAGGGCTGGTTCTCCGCCACAGCGCGCCGCCGGGCCTCCTTGGTGGCGTTGTACACAGCAAACACGTCGTTGCCATCCACGCGGATGGACATGATGCCATAGCCGGGGCCTCGGGCAGCTGTGGGGACAGAGAGGCAGGGCGGCCCCGGGGCTCAGATGGGGACAGTGCGGGGGGCAGCAAAGCAGCGTTCCTGCGGCCTCCCTTGTTGCAGACCCGCGGCAGGGAAAGGACTGGGGAGTGGCCCGTGGGGCCCCTACCGATGCCGTCCCCGCGGTACTGCTCCGAGGTGGGCGTGGAGATGGCATAGCCGTTGTTCCGGCAGAAGAAGATGATGGGGCACTCGAGGGTGGCGGCGAAGTTGAAGCCGGCGTGTGCGTCCCCCTCGCTGGCCGCCCCCTCCCCGAAGTAGCAGATGACCACCCTGTTGGCGTTGGCCCGCTTGGCCGCGTAGGCCGCCCCCACCGCTGCAGGGGGAGAGGGGGATGAGCAGGAGCAGAGCCACACACTCTCCCCACCGGGCTCTGCCCTCCCGCTGCACCCCACAAACTGCCTCAGCCCCCCCCCGCTGATGGCCGCTCCCCACACCTCTTCCACCTTCAAAACTCCGCTAGAACCTGACCCCGTGCCCCACCCCTTCCCGCCAGTCGGCTTGCCCAGTCACCTCCCGCCTGAGCTCCCAGCAGCCTCCTCACAGGCCCCCTGCTCCTCCCGCCCCCACCCGTTACCCTGGGACAGCCAGAGGCCAGTTAAAATGGTTAAAATGTGAACCAGGCTGACATTCAGGCCCAGCGCGTCTCCCCCCTGCGGCTCCCACTGCCCTCAGACTCCCCTGCATCTGCAGCCTTCCCGCACCTCTCTGCGCCCCCTCCTGGCCTCCCTACCCGGTTCCACACCTGCCTCGGGGGCCCCCCTGCCCCCTCAAGCGGTCAAGCAGGCACTTGCCTCAAGACCCCACATGGTGCCCTCCCTGGCTCCTCCTGGTCTGTAAGAAATGTCACCTGTGATGCAACCCCCCACCTTCCTCCATCACATCTCGGCTGTGTTTCTCCCTGCAGGACTGCTCACCCCTGATCCCCTCCCTGGGCTCCTCCTGCATGCTTCCTGTCTGTCTCCTCCACATGGAGGAGGGCTGAGGTGTTTGTCTCCTGCTCACTGCGCCCCGCACGGCGCCCACAGAGACTCCATACATTCGCCCGCTGAACAGCTGAATGGTCACTCAAATGGAAGGTAAGGGCCAGGGCCCAGCCTTCTGGAAATCCTACCTCCCCGCAGGTAACATGCCGCCTCCCCTCACAAAGTTGCCCTGCCCGCCTCCCACGTCAGAGGCGCAAACAGCTCCTCATTCCAGGCACTGAGCTAACACGTACCAATGGGCCTCGCAACCAGCACGCCGCTCAGCCCCACGGACACAGCAACATGTGTACCTCGGCCGCCGTGGGGCAGAGAGAGCCGAAGCCCAGCGCTGCCCTCGACCGGACTGCAGGGTCCAGAGGGCAGGTTCCAGGGTCTCCCCGAGGGGCCTGGCCCCGAGAGGGTCTGCTCTGACTGCTCGAGGGAGCGTGGGCTTCCAGAGTAAGCTTCAGGGGAGTCAGACTCCGAGGAGTGAAGCGGAGCAGGGTCAGGGGCAAGAACCCAGCTCTGCCCAGAGACCCTTGCGAGGAAGTTGGTACCCGCTCAGTCAGGCGCAGTTGCCGGGTCGGTGAGCGGACCAACGGGATGGGCAGTTTGGGAAACGAGAGCTTCCCGCGCCAGCTCCAGCCTGCCAAACCACAGCCCTCCTGTGGAGACTGCCGGACGAGAGGGGTCTGTAAATGGAAAGTCTGGAGCCCGGGCCAGCGCTCTGAGCCCGGCACCCGCGGGGAGGCCCCCGGAAGGGCTGGGCCGGCGCAGGGGAGGACGCCGGTCTGCGAGCCCCCAACCCGGGACGAGTCCTCACCCTGCGGGATCTGCGTGGCCAGCGGAGAGGAGATGGTAACAAAGTGGCGCTCCTTGCAGCCGTAGTGCACGGGCATCTGGCGGCCCTTGCCCAGGTCACTCGAATTGCCGTAGCACTGGGCCATGAACAGCTCCAGGGGGTAGTCCCGGTACATGAGCACACCTGGGGGGGGGGGGCGGCTGCGTGAGCCTGCGGCTGGGGTCCCGGGGCGACGCCCCTGCAGCCCAGGCTGCATCTCCCTGTGGGTCCCAGATGGGAACTGGACTCGAGCAGGGGAGGCCGATTCACAGGCTCACGGGGCGGGGGGCCAGGCAGGGGGTGCACACTAGAGAGCTTGGACCTGTCCCGAAAGGGAGGCCACCCACCTTCCCTGGTTCCAACCACCCAACTGCCGCTTGGAGACACCAGATGGCCCAGCTCTTCAAAAGAAGGCAAAACCTGGCTTGCTTTTTTTTTTTTTTTTAACAAGAAACTACCTGATGTCGATGTTTCCACTCACACAATTACTTCAAAAATCATTGTATGAACTAAATAAAACTACTGGCCACTAGCTCACAACTTCTGAACTAGAGAGACGATATTTGAACCTGCTTGTGGGTGTAAAATCCTGTCTTCAAACAGAACCGCTCTGGTGAAGGGGGCCTTGCCTGCTGAGTCAGAGGACAGGAGGGGGTTGAGGTGGTCCTGGGATGGGGACAGACCCGCTCTGGGTCGCCCCCTGAAAAGGAGGACAATCGAAACGCCCACACCTGAGGGGCCGCACTGGGGGTTCAAGGATGCCCATGGAAGCACCCAGAACCTGAGCAATGCAGAGGGGCAGCTGGCTGGTGCAGGCATTTCCAAATCTCTGCTTTATTAGAGAACTTTCTTCACGTGATGACGTAACGGGGGTCACACTGCACAGAAGACACATTTTGCACGGGCTGTGCACACGTTCCCCGAATGACTGCAATGTGAATATAACGTTTGGTGCCAGGCGCCTTTATTCTGAGCACTTTCCAGAGATTAACTTGATTAATCCTCACAACGACCCCCCAAGGGAGGGGGATTATTCTCCCCATTGGCAGATGAGAAAACTGAGGTAGGAGAGCTCCCAGAGCCGGCTCGAGGTCACACTGTGAGGTGGCGGGCTGGGCTGTGGGGGCCACGCAAAGCTCACCCTTCACGGCTGAGGCTGCAGCAGGGCGGTGGGGCTGGG